TTCTATTCTCAGCATCCACATGGCAGCTAACAACCGTCAGTTACTACAGTTCCAGGGGCATTAGATGCCCTCTTCTGATCTCCAAGGGCAATACATGACATGGGTAGACTTACAGACATGCAGGCAGTACATTCTTACACATTAGATAAAAATAATAAAGCCAGGTGTGGTGGCCCATGCCCTTAGTCCCAGCACTCGGGAAGCAGAGGCAGGTGGATCTCTGAATTCAACACCAGCCTGGTCCACATAGTGAGTTCTAGGACAGCTGGGGCTATAGGGAGACCCTATCTCAAAAAGATAAAATAATAATAATAATAATAATAATAATAAATAAGGAGCTAGAAAGATGGCTCAGCAGTTAAGAGTACTGGCTCTTAGAGGATCCATGTTCAGTTCCCAGCACCCACATGATGGCTAACCACCAGTAACTCCAGTTCCAGGGGAATCCAACACCTTCTTCTGACCTCCACAGGCACCACATGACACAGGTGTACTTACACACATGTGAGCAATGCACTCATACACTAAAATAAAAATAATAAATATTTAAAAATAACAGTAAATAAGCCGGGCGTGGTAGTGCACACCTGTAGTCCTAGGACTTGGGAGGCAGAGGCAGGCAGATCTCTGTGAGTTCAAGGCCAGCCTGGTCTACATAGTAAGTTCCAGGGACAGCTGGGGCTACAGGGAGACCCTGCTTCAAAAAGACAAAAAATAAAAATGTAAATAAATAAACAGTAAATAAAATATTTTTAAAGCCCCAAATCTAAAAATCCCCAAACTAAACAAAGAGGTAGTGACCATTGAAAGCAGTTAAGAACATGGACCTGGTCATATTTTTTGCCAGATTCATTATCTTCTCCTGGGATGAGTGGTTGGAGGTCAGGTATAAAGTCAGAGGTGTTGTAGCACTGCAAGTCTAGTGACCCGTTTGTGTCCAAGCTGGTGCAGGAGAGAGGTAGCTACAGTTGAGACAGAGATTTTGAGTGTTGAGTTCAGTGAATACTGACAAACATGGGCATGTAACAACTACCCAAACTGGAACCTGATGTTACCCTAGGATGCCTGCACTTCCCTTTCCCAGCAAATATCTGTTCAAACACCGTTTGGACTTTCTGATTTCTATCAACATAGCTTATTTCGTCTATTTTAATATTTCACATAAATGGAATCACAGTATCTTGGTTATTCATTTGCTTTTGGGGTTCACCATGGTGATGGGCCTATAGATTCATTATGTCTGGAATTCCTTGGGGTGGCTTGTACAAGGTAACTCTAACTTCCGTCTTGCTACCCCAGCTTCAGTCCTCATCGAAGTGTCACACAGGAAGTGTATGCCATACTTGGCCTCTCCTTCCTTTGGGAGCTGCTCCTGGCTATCCTGACGTCACTGGTCTTCCTTCTCAGTCTCCTTTGATGCTGTTTTTCCAGTGTCTCTGTATTGGAGCATCCTAAGGCCCAGACCACACAGCTTTCTTTCTACCTATGCTTATTCCCTTTGTGACTTCATTCAGTTTCTCGTATACTGAGTCCCAGTTTCTATCTCCAGCCTGGGACTCTCCCGAGCTCCAGGCCATCACCCAGTTGGTGTTCCCCTTTGAGTCCTAGTAGTTGCGTGAAGTAGGCTGTGTGGAAGTCCTGTTCTTCCCCCACCACAAATACTTTCTTCCGTTTTCTTGGTTTTAGTTCATGGCAACCTCAACCTTCCCTATACTTAGGCCCCAAACCTTCAAACCAGAAATCAACCCTTTTGCCCTCATGACCGTCCAAAACTTATGGCTCTGCCTTAGTCATGAATCTGGACACGCCCTCCTCACATCCTTGTCCCTCTGCTTGCCCCACCTGCACTTATCCAGCAGGCTAGGTTATTTTCTTCCTTGTTCCCTCCAGTCCATTTCAGCTTAGAAGTATTAATGACTCTTTGAAATATGTATCGGATGAGGTCACTTCTAAGCTCAGAAAATTCGCAATGGCTAACCATGAATCAAAGGAAATGCTGGGAGTCCCGAAACTTTTCTGCCAGCGGCAGTACCACTTGTTACTCTCCACTTCATCCCTCACTGTGGTCTGCCCAACTCCCATCTTGCTTGTTCAGTCCCTCCTGCTCCATAAACAGTCCTAGGCTGCTTTCAGATTTCTACCTTGTGTCTCTTTCCCAAGACTTGGCTCAACTGTGAGGCCTTTCTTGACCTACTTAGAACTGCAGCCCTCCACTCCCCCCCGAGACCCTCACAGTCTCTTTCCCAATTATTATTTTGCCGTAGTATTTAGCATCTTCTGGCAAATGCTAGCACTTATTTCCTTTTTGTGGATTTGGTCCCTTCTACCAGATAAAGTCCTCAGCACAAAGATTTATGTTTTCCTTCCTCCACAAATCCTAGAATAGTACTTGCCACAGAATAAATGCTACTTATTGGATATTCAGTGTATCAGTCCTTATATTCTAGTTTCATATAGAGAAATGATTTTGCCTAAGAGCTGCTTAATGATTAGGTGGTAGGGGGTTCCTCCCACACCAAAGTGAAATAGGCAACAGATACCTGATAATTGATGGGGAAAAAAGCATGGAGACAAAGGAACAACACCATCAGGAGAGCCCTGCTAAATGTAGAAATGTCAGTACAGCAGATGCTACTGAGTTCAATGCATCTACAAAGTTCCCAAGACACTGATCCCTGTACCTACCCTTTTCCCATTCCCAGTAGAAAGAACACTGAGGAGTTAACATACTGGGGTTAATATTCAGCCAACAGGGGCAAGGGTTACTGGCTAACTGCCCTAGCCTTTGGTCAAGATGGTCCAAGTAAGATGGTATTATAGCACCAGAACTGGGAAGTAGAGCATTTAAATATCTTAAGGGTCATCACGACATATTTTAAAATTTAGTTTTGACAGGGTCTCACTGTGTAGCTGACTGGCCTGGAACTTGCTACGTAGATCAGGCTTGCCTGGACTCAAGGGATTTGCTTGTCTCCATGTTCTTAAGTGTTCAATTTGCACCCTCCTACCCCATGTGCACGTACCTAAAATTTCCAAGAAAACACCTAGGAGTTCTGGGAAGCACTTCCTCAGTGCCCTCACCTACTAGGAGGCCCTCTGAAATCACATGGCCAGGGCCAGAATCCAGATCTCCAGTCTCTAAAAGTCTAGTCTTATTTCTACAAAGCCACTGTAAACATTCTAAAGAGAAAAATTTTGGAGGTTGAGGGAGCTGTGTTTTCAGAATTTTATTATTATTTATCTTATTTAGGAAGGATCTCCCTGTAGCCCCAGCTGGTGTGGAACACACTATGGAGACCAGGCTGGCCTCAATCTGATTAACCTGCCTCTGCAGGGAATGCTGGGATTAAAGGACTGGGCCACCCCACCTGGCTCAGATTCAATTTTGACAGTGTTCCCAATTTAGGAAAGCCTGCCCAAAAGATAATGGCAAATTTAAAGAGTGCTTTGTAAACTGTAAAGTGCTATCAAATGGTTAGGTATCTGAGGATCACTGCCAAGGTCAACAAATTGAGGCCTGGGTATAGAGCCAGTTCTTCAATTGGAAGAGCTAAGGCTGGGCATTCAAGGGTCCCCCCTCCAGATGGGGTCATGGTATATTTGCTGGAATTAGGACAGTTTCTCATCTTGTGCCTCCCTTGACCCCTCCATTTTAAGAGCAATGTGCTTATACTGAAAATCTTTGTGTTGAAGTTTCTTTTCTGGGCTTCTCCCCTTTGCTTGTATTCTGGAACCACATACCGTCTCCAGAGACCTGACTGCTGGGCAGGTGGCCCTCTCCATTTTCCAGCTGTCTTTTGAGTACATGAGTTTCTCTTCCACATTATTTACGTTGAGTCCCAGTTGCATTACAATGTATATTCTGCACATGCTCTGGCTTTCAAAACCACATTCTTCTGCCCTCACACTACCTCTTTGTTATAGATTAACTGAATGAGCACTGTTCCCCTAACTTGGCTTGTGAAAGGAGACCCTGATGAAGAATAAACTTCACATTTTCTGGCTTCCTTACCCTAGTGCCCAACACTAGCAGGGCAACAGTGTTTGGTGACCTTTGGCATTAGGTTAATGATCTGGTTTTGTGCCTAGGTTAGATAATGAGCCTGTGAAAAGCCTTATCATCAGGAGGCTGAGGAGAGCCCCTTTGTCCTGCACCCACTGCGCCCTTTTCCCTAAGCATCTTTTATTCGTTGAAGCTAATGGGGTTTCAGTGGCAGACATTCATTCTCCACAAGTTCCCATTCAAGTGGCTGTGCTGTGCAGCAGTTCAGTCTTGAATGTTTCTACACTTCAGGGCTTGTAAAACAGTGAAAGATAGCAGATAAACTCACAGTAAGTGTTCTGTTCTAGGTTCTAAAAAGGTCCTACTTTGTTTCTCTTCTGTAATAGGAGTCTTGAGAGTCCCAAATTTAAAAGTGTGTAACAAGGCTAAAACAGGAACATTATCCAGCAGAGTGCTGCATACAAGTCTGCTTACCATGTACCTTCTAAGTGATTTATGTATATATAAACATATTCACGAGAAGACAGACATGGAGGAAAGAGATCTACCACTACATGGCTGGGGTAGGGGAAAATCAAGCTAGTTCTTTTGAGGGACCAACCATCAAAAAGTATTTTACTTGTCAAAAGCAAAAGTATTGGGAGATTAGGAAATGGTCTTAGTGTTTGTTTTCAAAGTATCATTGAAGGGACTGAGTTACAGTCTGTGACTCAAAATCCTGGTTAGTTAACGTTTTCACATGGTCCAAATGAACCATAATTTTAAAAAAGAAGTTACTAAGAGACCTCAGAAGATGGGGTAATCTCAGCTCACCATGGGCTGGGAAAGGCCTCTCCCTTCTGCTTCTTGGATCAAATTTTCAGCCCTTAACTACTTTCAACTCCACCATCCATTAGTAAGACAGGGTAGTGGAGACAGTGGTACAGAGGAAGCCTGGGGGGCTTTTGTCTGAGAATTAGATCACCAAGGGAAAGAAAGGCAGGATTCAGGCACTTAGTAAATGAAAAGCGAACTTCTTTATTGTACACAGTACAGAATATAACGCAGCTTGGCAGGATGCACACAGCCCTGCGCAGGGGGATGTATTTCAAATCAACTGGCAGGTTGAAGCCTTTCTGCACTGTAGATTTTCCACACTCTGGAAAAGAAGCAAATAAACAAAACAACCCCCCCAAACCCTGAAAAAAACCACAACTATCTGGGAGGTGCATGAGTCCAATGGGAATGCAACAGTGATACTGCTGTCCCACATCCTGTGACGACACAGGCCACACGGTTACAGCAGGGGAAGGGCAGCTCAGACTAAAGAAGGTCTTTTTGTACTCACTAAAACAGCATGAATTCATTAAAAAAAAAAACAAAAAACAAAACCCAAACCAGGATAAGAAAAGAAAAACAAATCTATACAGCATTTACAACAAATAAGTCTAAGTCTCTAGCCAGCTGGGGATAAAATATGCATCTATGTATAGACTATGTGTAGATTAGAAAGCTATAAATACGGTTTAGAAAGAGTCCTGTGATTAGAGTACAATGCTAATTAAGGCCCAACCTTTGGGTTTGACACCTCTGTGGGCTGATTAGCTTCCAATAGAAGAAAACCATGTTTCCATAGCTGTAAAATGTACCCCACTTCACAAATGTGCTGTGGGTCATAAAGAGGGACTGTGGAGCACTCCACAGAACAGCAAGTACGCCCACACTCACAGAGTCAGCGGTATCCTGCACACATGAGCAGCTCAGTCCAGCACAGTTCTTAATGTGCTTAGTGTCAAGGGGAGACAGAATTCTGTCAACAGAGCAGTAGGTCACCAAGGTTCTGCTACTTCCTGGTGACTTTCCTCTGCTCTGAGCTCAACTTTCACACAGCTTTAGTTTGTTTGTTTAAAACTTTCCCCATATAATACAGCAATCAAGTAATAATAAAAAAGTGGCAGGAAACCAGAACGCAAGCATGGTTTTACCTGTCAAGAGTCACTCCTAGGACAGACCCTAGGGAACTATTATGTAGGGTTTAAAGTCCAAAACAGAGAAAAAGGAGAACAAAACTGATGAAATGGAAATTGTCCCCAGTCATGCCTAGGGCTCTCACCGGGTGATCGGGTGCTCAGTGGTCATGACGTGTGGTATGTACATCTGCTTTCCAGAGAGGGCATGTTAGTGACCACAGGAACTATACATATAGAATCTAAGCTGTGTCCAGGCTGGCCTGCACACTTCAAAAATGTACAACTCAGGTGCAAATGTTTCAACAGGCTGGCTGGTGCAGAAAGCACCAAGCAGGCAACAAAGCAGGCTTTTACACGGCTAAGGGGAAGCCCCCGCAAAGCCCCTCTCAAGCTGCAGTGTCTTCGTAAGTGGGCACGGCCCTGCCTCGGAGACACGGTACAGTTACCAAAAAGAATTTTTTTTGTTGTTTTTTGTTGTTGTTGTTGCTTTAAATACCAAAACTACAAAAATCAGTTTATATAAACTGTTTTTCCAAAACAACCACCAAAACAAAACAATCCCCCCCCAAAATCAGAGCAAAACAAAATACTGTCAAAAGTGTTAATCGCCTTTCTTGTAAAATGAAAGCCACCTACATTCAGCCATGTGACTGGGAGGAGAGGGGGGCCTGTTCTACTTGGTGACCATATGGCTGGGAGGTTCCCAAGAGCAGCAGTGGTTAGAGAACCACTGAGTGGGTAACAGCTGTCCTGGCTTCCCTTGTTCTGGACATGGGGTAACAATTCTGATTGATCTACAGGAGCTCTATTCAAGCCTTAATGGTCTGAGCTGCCCCAACCCAGCCTACCTACTTTCCTATGGGTGTGCGATTTCTTTCCTATAAATTGTGCAAGTCAAAGCCCTTTTACATAAAGGCATTTTAGTAGTCTGTGATCAATGCAGATTGTCACACACTCCATCCCGATTCTCGGGCACTAGCCTGAACAAGGTATTGCTCTGCACATATCGTCCATGATGGTAAGGAGGCTCTGCTTCCACCTCTTCCCAGGAATCTCACCAGAATCAGGGCTGAAGCACCAGCCGCTCGGTAGTTTTTCTGCCTCTCCCTGTTCCCACTCCCCAGCCAAGGTGTTTGTCTTTAAGGGTGTCAATCCAGAGATGGCTTGGGTTCTCCGGATAATACTCAAAGGGCAAGCTTTAGGAACAGCCAAGAACACAAACAAAAACCACTGCCCTCGTTTGCCTGAATGGGAACTGCTAGGCTCTAGGGTTGGCTGCTCGGCCACTCAGAAATTTAGTAAGCAAAGCCTTCAGCGTAGGGAAGGCTGCTGCAGCGATCCATGTCCAGGAGGTAAGCAGGGTTGTCTTCGAAGTGAGTCAGGGGCAGGGTGTCCTCCTCATTGAGGGGACACTCGGACTCCGCCTTCAGGAATGGACGCTGATTGTCCGGGAAGGCCATGGAGAACAGGGCATCCGGGTCACAAACAAATTTGTAGACATATCGTTCCCCAGCCACCTGCATGAGAAAGCACATCTTACAAGGGCCCAGTTGGAACGGGGAGTGGGGCTCAAGGGAAAAAGATGGGAATTTTAAGTCACCAACCTCTCAGGGAGCCAAGAACCAAAGGGCTCATTAACAGCTAACTATTCCATTTGTAACTTGGGGACCAAAATGTTTTGTTGACACCATAGCTCAGTAGTTTAAAGATGGCATTTGAATTTTAAATTTATACCAGTTAAGCAGAAAGTTCTCACACTCTCTTTTCTTTAAAAAGTATTTTGCTTATTATTTTTATCTTATGTACATGAGTGTATTATTTGCATGTATGTAAGTGCATCCATGTCATGAAACACCTATGGAGGTCAGAAGAGGGCTGTCAGATCCTCTGGAACTGGAGTCATGAATGGTTGTTAGCCGCCACGTGGGTACTGGCAACTGAATCCAGGTCCTCTGCAAGATCAGCCAGTGCTCTTAACCTGTGAGTCATCGCTCCAGCCCTGTACTCTGTCTTATACTGCTAGCTTAGGGCTGGCTCCTGGTCCACAAAGGCTGGTCCAAGGCCTTAAAGGTACAATGTAGATGCCAGACTACATCTTCAGTTACCTCCTAAATTTACAGTTCTCCAAAGATGGGTGTGTTAAGGATGTTCTTTTTTTTTTTTTTTAACATGTATGTGTATATGGTGCATGTGTGTAGGAATGCATTGTATGCACATGTATGTGGAGGCCCAAGGTTGGAGCAGGGACTCTCTGTCAAAACCCGAACTTGCTGATACAACTAGTCTAGTCTAGCTGGCTTTGGGGATCTAGGCTTCTGTCTTCTGAGGCCAGAATTACAGGTGGGCTACCATGCCCATCCAGCATTTACATGGATTCTGGGCATCTGAATTCCGGTCTTCTTGTGTAGCAAGTACTTTAACCACTGAGCCACCTCCCTAGCCTTGTTTAAGAATCTGATCATACCAGTCTCTGGAAATTTCCAAGCCCAGCAGAAATGCTTCTGGTATAACTGTCACTCGTTCATGGGCCTGCTCTACTGACAATAGCTGATGTGTGGTGATGGCAGAGCTTAACAGTCTTGATTATTCAAGGACAATGTCACATGGCTGACAAGCCAGCTAAGGTGATTATCCCCCATCTGCTGGTTCTTTAACAACAGCAAAGGAGGGTACAACCCACCAAAAAGCCAAACAAGTGTTAGCTTCTGTCAGGTAAGGAAGAAGAAAAAGCAGTTACAATTCCCAACAGCTCTTAAAGCTGATCTTATGGTGATAGCTCTTCCAGCAACCAAAACAATGCAACATTGTTTAGAACTCCTAAAGAGGAACCAGGGACTGTTTTTATCAGCTGAGTGAATGAGTCTTAAGGGCAGCAGAAATACATACTGATCATCCCAATGGTGTTTTCCTTTCTGAGATAGTCTTCACTATGTAACTCAGGCTGGCCTTGAACTCAAAATTCTCCTACCTCAGCCTCTGAAGTACTGCGACTATAGTAAGTGTGTGCTACCACAACAGGCTTGTAGTTAGCTTTTGTGTGCGCAAGTGAGGAAGGAGACATGGCAGCAATAATCAGTCAAGAACAACATGGCTTCCAGTACTGGTTTACTCACTAAGCCTTACTCCTATAGCCCTGGATTTCCCTTCAAAAACTAAGGGCATGGGCTGCCTTTCCCATACTGATGAGCTGTCGTTCACTTCTTCATTAGTTTCATTGAGTCACGTGCGAGCATGTTACTATTACCTGGGCATTTTTGAACATAGAGGTGTGTGAGATTACAAAGAACATACTATCTGCATTGCTAATGTAGAGAATTTGGGAAGTTAATATTCTCAAACAGGCTGCCAGATCAGAATGTTAAGACCTAAACCCACTTAAGCCACAATCCTGGGTTTTCCTACACTCAGAATTAAATGTCTCCTCTATTTCCCAAGGATACCAGGAGTCAATTCGAGGGGCAACTCTTTCTCAGTAGTTCTAAGCTACTATGCCTGGTTACATCCTTTCATGTTGGAGCTGGAGTTAGGAATAATAAAAGAATGGTGGTGGCTCCTTCCTGTATTTGAGATTTGCTCTGATGGTACTAATTCGGGTTGGAGAAAAGGGGGGAGTGAATGCTACTGTGCATGGGTTTCTTTTGGGGTGATGAAATAGCATAAAACTGATTATTGGGGTAGCTGCCAGTCCTATCTTTTATGGTTACCCATGGGATTTAAAAGTTGTGATTCCTTAACCCTTGTCTTAATTTTATACTGGCTTCTTCAAATACACTTTATCCTCTAGTCTGTAAAGAGCAACCTGTCAGTGACCATGGCTGCCATTTTATAATCTTTGGGTCTTTAAGTTCCAGGCTCTATAGGTTTGGAAGACAAGACTTTCTTATTCCCCTAACTCCTTAAGATGAGGTCTCGCTGTGTTGCCCTGGCTACCCTCAAATTCTGTCTTAGCCTTCTGAATCCCTGCCAAGTACAGGTATAGACAGCTGTGCCCTAGCCTTCCTGACACTTGAGAGTATCAAACCAACAGACTTGGAGATTAAATGTTTTAACAACTAAAGACTTATAACCAAGCTGATTCCTTCACATGTTTCCTGTGTACAGTGTGAGTGCAGCACCTGTGGAGGCCAGTAGAGGGTGATGGATCCCTTAGAACTGGTGGTTGTGAGATACCATGTGGGTGTTGGGAACCAAAACCGGGTCCTCTGCAAGAGGAGCAAGTGTTCTTACTGTTGAATCATCTCCCCAGCCCTAAAGGTACTTTAAATACCCCATTTGTCTCTTTTTTTAAATTTTATTTTTTTGAGATGGTCTTAGGTGCCTGGGCTAGCTTAGAATTTGGTATGTAGCTGAAATTGGCCTGGAACTTCTGATTATCCTGCCTCTGCTTCCCAAGTGTTGGGATTATAGGTATGTACCATTCTGTCTTGTAATCCTTGTCTTGTGTTAACATTCTCTCCTACCACAGACTCACTTATGAGGCTAACACTCTCTCCCAACTATCATAAATGACTATTGTAGAGGCTCTGTACGTTTTCATTGAAAGTGATAGAATGATGTGCCTCTTGTAGTTGCTCACCTTCTGCATGATGCCCTTTTCATAGTAATAGCGCAGAGAACGGCTCAGCTTGTCATAGTTCATGGCTGGCCGATTCTTCTGGATACCCCAACGCCGAGCAACCTGAAGAGACAAGAGAACAAAGATGGAAACATCCCCAGGAGTACCTGTTCTGTATCTGACTGTTTGGCCAATGACTCATTTCTCTAACTTGGAAAGGAAAGTGTTTAACTTTCAAGACCAAATATTAAGCAAAGGTGATGATTCAGCCTGGAGGTGAGACCTGGAGTCCTAACACTGTAAGACTGCAAAGGGCTTGACTAGCATCCCAGAGGATAAGGCTCTCTACTGTTTCTCCATTTATGAATTATTGACCAATACTCATGGACCATTAACATGTTGCCATTAAGTGCTATGGTTTTTGTAGCAGTCAATAAGGAATAATTAGAATGGTCATTCCTGAGACATTAGAAACACACTAGTGAGTTGCTAATGGGCCTGCAGAGTAAAAGTTCAATTCTAATAAGATTGGAGAGGGACTGGGAGATGTTTACTTATTACAGCTCTTGGACTAAGTGGGGAGTCAGATCACTCCAGCCTGCTGCCATCCAATTCTTTGCTCCCGGCAGACTTACAGAATGCACATTAAAGCATGCAGCACCATTATCCATTTAATGAAAAATTAACAGGGCTTCCCAGGCACTTCTGAAGTGCATTATATCTAACCCAGTCCACTTGAGGTATAGTGATGGGGAGATGTAATTGGAGCTTTGGGCAAAGAAGCTTCATAGAAGAAAATTTCCTAGTAGAGTCTGCAACCATCAGAGCAGCCAAGCAATTTTGTTCTCAAGTATCTAAATTTTCAAAATTCTACTTAAAAGAGTAACTGTCAAGGTAGGAGAAGATCAGCTGCAAAAATTTGAGTTGTCTGAGGTCTTCATTTTAGCTCAGTTTTAGAATGTTCAAAAACCCCACTTAAGTACATTTCTTTGAGGTTTTTATAAATTTTATTTTATTTTTTTTTCCCCAGATAGGATCTCTCTATACAGTTTGGCTGGGTTCAAACTCTTGATCTTACCGTCTCTGCTTCCCAAGTGCTTGGATTTCAAGCACCACTAACTGTAATTCATTCCTTTGATCTCCCCCAACTCCCAAAAGCCAAAGGTGCTGGGAATAATGGTGCATACCTTTAATCCTAGCACTTGAGAGGCAGAGGCAGAAACAGGAAGATCTCTGAATTTGAGGCCAGTCTGGTCTATACAGTGAGTTCCTGTGCACTCCATACTGCTATTCAACTATTCACATGTATCTCCAAAACAGCATCAAAGGCAAAAATCACCAAAAATTAAATCCTGGTTAGAGAATAAATATTCCAAATTAACGGAGAAATCTGCTAAACCAATCAAAGTCCGAGGTCACCACAGGTGACAGGGAGATTTTAGAGAACCTGGCCTCATCGCTTCTTTCAGTAGCAGAAAACAATTTTAAATACTCTTCAACTTGAGTGTTGACGTCTCTTTGCTGTCACTGCATATGCAATAGCTTACTAGACAGGTTTTATGTATGTGCAGATTTCAAAGCAGCTCTGGCAGCTATAGTTACTGACTCATCCTCCAGGCCAGAGCTCTATGATTCAGTGCCCTCGCCACACTGCTCCTTCTATAGTAATGCACGATACAGCGTGGCCCCAGAGCAGCTGCAGACTCAGGCGTTCTCTCTTCTGTGCTAGGGGAAGAAAGCTAGAGTTTATTGAGCTTATTACCAGCTCTTTATTTTTGCTTTCCCATTAACTGCTTTGGGAGCATACATTTTGGGAGCTGAGGCTGAAGGAGTCAAAAATTGCCATCTATTTCTTTCCCCCTCCAAAGAACAAGCAGTTACAGTGCAAGGAGCAGCTCTTTCTAGCAGTCCATCCTTTAAAACCTCCCATGGCATCACTTATCTGCCACATGTTCAACAAACAACCCTACCCTCCAAAATATTCATATTAATGCAGATTCAGTTAAAATGGCTCCAGATTAAAGCCGAGTCAGTCATAATTGAGAGGGTGCTAAGCTGGATGACTATCAAAAGACATTTGATTAGGGGGCCTGCCAAAACGCAGTTCTAAAACCACAATTTCCATGCATAGTGTAATGGATATTATGGATAATTACCCAGAGTGCACTACTCAGCCACACAGCTGCCTACAATTACGTCCCCAACAGCTTCCTCCTCCACTTCACCCTTTAAGTTCCCCCATGACAACTTCTTGCAGCTTTCTCCAGGACTTGGTATCTTCCTGACATTAACAACAGGGCCCTCACATCACACAATGAGCAGAAAAGGAAAGCTCAGTAAACATCAGGCATGCCAAGGCTAAGTGCTGTTAAGAATGCAGTGGTCCTGGATTAAGAGATAAAAGTCCTCATCAGAGTTTAGGAATTTTGGAGACCTCAAGGTATGAAAGAGCAAATTTTTTTTGTCTTTTTGAGACAGGGTCTCTCTGTAGCCTCAGCTGGCCTGGAACTCACTATGTAGACCAGGCTGGCCTTGAACTCACAGAGATCCCCTGGCCACTGCCTCCCAAGTGCTGGGATTAAAGGCATGTGCCACCATGCCTGGCTGAGAAGAGCAATTTTTAAACAAACAATGCTGAGGCTGGTGGAATGGCTCAGTGGGTGGCAGTACCTGCCACCAAAGACCTGAGTTGGATTCCCTGGGCCCATATGGTGGAAGGAGAGAACTGAGTCCTAGGGGTTGTCGTCTGAGCTCCACACACTGTGTCCCCTAGCCCCACTAAATACAAAATGTAATAATAATAATAACAAATGCTGCCCAATCAACAAAGAGGCTCAAGGCCACCACAGGCTTCACACATGTGCCTCATGGCTGTTTGGCATTTAGGAACATTCTGGGTTAATATTAGTTCCTTTATTAAGTAAGAAAGCAGGAGCCCTCTGCCATCTGTTCATCATTTTCTTTACCACTGGTAGGAGAGCAGAAGATTCAATAACAGCCTTATAGAGGCTCATAACCAGGTTTACCTGCAGCTGGACAGCCTGTGCTTAGGCCTGAGGTGGTGGCAATAAAGTTATAAAAGCTCCTGTTTATGGAACAAGATGAATCAATAAAGGCTGCACACATGACAGGCTTACTTTAAAAAGCCTTGGTGAGTCAAGGTGCCACCCTTTCATCAAGTCTCACATAAACCAGGCTGTGTTATCAGGAAAGCGGTGAGGGAAGAATGGGCACTCATGGGGTGGTGGCTCTCCAGCAGGGCTGAAAGCTGAGGTTCCATTTCTGCATGACTTGAGCCCGAAAGAAATGCTCAGGGAAACAAAGTGACACCAAACTCTGGCTTTGCAGGTGGACTAAGCCTATCAGAAACTGTCTACAGTATTAGATGTTAGTATGTGCCATTTCTGTAAATAAATATAAGGCAATTGTGTGCACAGGCCAGAGATTGACAGGTATCAATCTTGACTGCTCTCTATGTTTTTGAGGTATGGTTTCTCAATTGTTGGGGGACCCTGCTGCTAGGGTTGTAGTCCTCCATGTCCGGATAGCTCTAACGGGTTCGGCACTATATGGAAGGACTCCCCTTCTCAGCAGGGCCTCCTGCTCTCTGCCCAACTTACCTGGAAAGTGCCACTAAGCATGGATACTTGGCCTCATTTGAAACATGACCTTTGGCATAGTTACCGTCAATAAAACTGCCCCCAGGTTTTTTCTATATGATAATTAGGCATTGCCTGGTAGTCGGATGATAGGAGCCTACTGCCACATGTAAATAAAGCATACTATGAGCACCTATCAGTTGAGGCATTGGCTACTGCCTCCACACTATATTTTCCCTAACCCCCACTGAATAAACGGAGCTGTTTCACTGTGTCTGGAGCTGTTTGCATCACTGAATCTGCCTCCCCGGAAGGGCTTTCTTCCATCAGTGCTCACTGACCATCCTGACCCAGTTCGTCGCTTCTGCTCTGTCTGCCCTTATGGACCGGTGGCCAATGACCCACGAGGGGAGGGAGAGACCCCATACTCAATGAACCTGAAATTTGAACATTTGGTTAGGCTGGCTGGCCACTGAGCTCCAGGGCTCTGCCTGTCTTCACTCTCCCTAATCAAGTGCATGGCTCCACAACTGGCTTTCACATGGGTGCTGGGGATACAAACCAAGGTCCCTATCCTTGCCTGGTAGACACTTTACTGAACTTTCTCTCTAGCCTCATATATGAGTCTTTTATGCCACTTTAAATAAAGCCTGCCTTATTCTCCTACCAATACGGGATTCTTCCTAGTTTTCCTTTTTAATTCTCTGATTAATTCTTTTTTGAGACAGCATCTTCCTGTAGCTCCAACTGACCTGGATGGAACTCACTATGTAGATCAGGCTGGCCTTATCTCGGAGATCCACCTGCCTCTGCCTCCCTAGTGCTGGGATAAAGTATGTGTGCCACCCCACCAAGCCCAGCTTGTTTTATTTTTATGTGAGTGTTCTGCCTGCATATATGTGAGTGCACCTGTGTTGCACAATGCCTGGGGAGGCCAGAAGGGGGCATCAGATTTCCTGGAACAGGAGTTACAGACAGTTGTTGGCGATCATGTGGGAATGGAACCTGGGTCCTCTACAAGAACAGGCAGTGCTCTTAACCACTGAGCAATCTCTCTAGCCTTTCTTACTAGATTTCTAATCCATTCCTTCCCCTTTTCCCACCTCAATATTCAGACCACTTCCTTCTTCCAAGCAACGTGCCAGGTTGTTACCTCCTATTGCAATTCTGGAGGCATGAGCATCTAAAACTATGGTCCTGGTTTGAATGCTTTCCAAAAATGCTGTTACCATTTCTATTGTACCCAATCCAAATATCACACACACCTAAGCACACACTATTGCAAGACGTGTTGTCAGGTGGCAGGGGTCGAGGGGGCTTTCTTTTCTACTTACAATTTTTGAAAAATCTAAATCAAATACAAATTAAAATCACTCCCTTTGGAGTATGTTACATGGAGAATGTGATTTAATCCCCTTTGTTATAGGATGCCCAGGGAAGGTTTCTATAGTGGTGTCTTCTCCACTGAAGGAATGGCATTGGTTTTGCCCCCATGACTTTCTGTTAACAGACAGTAACAATGTCTCTTTTCCTATTAAAATAATGAAGTTTGTGCCATTTGCTTAACTACTGTGATATTACATAATGTACTTAAAAATTTAAGTTTCAGGAGCTAGAGAGATGGCTCAGCAGTTAAGAGCACTCACTGACTGCTCTTACACAGGACCCAGGTTCGATTCCCAGCACCCACATGACAGTTACAAACTGTCCTTAACTCCAGTTCCAGGGGAATGTGACGCCCTCTTCTGACCTCCTCATCATTGCATGACACAGGTGTACTCACATACATGCAGGCAATACACTCATACACATAAAATAAAAATAAATAAAATATTTTTTAAAAAAATTAAGTTCCTAAGATTGACCCATCTTTGATCATTTTATTTCTCCAAGGTAGAATCATCTGAAATATGCAGCAGGGTGGGTGACAGATGGTTCAGTAGGAAAAGGCATTTGTTGCCCAAACTGCCAACCTGAGTCTGATCCCCAGGACCCACATATGAAAAATTAACCCTCCCATAAGTTGTCCTCTGACTTTCACATGCATACCATGAATCCTTGCACACAAACCAAATAAATGGTTTTTTTTTTTAAAAAGAAATATGTAATAAATGGAAAACTTCATACAATATTCAAACAGCCTTAGATACAGGCTGAGATCAAACACACTATCACTGATACAACAGTTGAAACAGGCTTTCCAAGAGGAAGGATTTTACACTGATCATTTCAATGTAAATGTTCACAGATTCCTCCTCAGTTTTTTTCAGGAGTGCTTAAAACACTACCATTCTAAAATCACTGTTATTCTACAGTGGAGAACTCTGTCTGTGTGGTAATAGGTAGAAAATTATCCCATTTAAAGGAACAGCACCGCTGAGCCCACCAGCAAGAATGAGAAATCAGAGCATTTGAACCAGCAGAAGGCCTGCTCACCCACATCCAGCACAGGCACTCACCTCCTCTGGTTCTATCAGCTTAAACTCCATGCCTCGGCCAGTCCAGGCAATGAAGTGGGCATTGGCTGGGTCATCAAGAAGGGTAACAAGGAACTGCCACAGCTGAAGAGAGCCTCGCCTCTGATAAGGGGGCCCCTCTCGATACATGGTGGGCTCCTGCTTGACTTTGCCTGTGTGGGACAAAGACAGAGGTCATAATTGAGTCTGGAATTTCTCAGGGGACTTGCACAGAAAGTGGTTGTTAATCTCAGGGGACTTGCACAGAAAGTGGTTGTTACTGAAGATTTGTCATTTAACTTGGTGAGACTGAGGAGTTCTGACATCTCTAGCCTCTCATTCAGCATCGAGCCTCGAACCAGCATCTCACCTTCTAGTCTTTCAGGCACAACGCAAGTGTCATCGAAAAACAGCCGGGGGTCCTTTTCATAAGAAAAGCCTAAAAGAGTTTAAACAGAAAGACCATACTGCTTAGCAGATTCCTCTGTTGTTCTAAAAACCATGGACTTAAGGACTAAATGACATTTTTTCATTCAAATTTTAAAAAATACTTTATTATTATTATTAGTGTGTGTGTGTGCGTGCGCGCATGCAATGTGAAGGTCAGAAGAAAAGTGTGGAGTTGGGGTGTGTATGTGTGTGTGTGCACACAAAGTGGAGGTCAGAGGAAAAGTGTGGAGTTGGTTCTCTCTCTTCCACCTTTATGTGGCTTCTGGGGATCCAACTCAGGCAGTCAGGCTTTCACTTGTTGAGCCGTCTTACACCACCTCTTTGCCTCCTAAGCCCTACTGCTGTACTATGCCAGACTGAATTTTCAGGGACTTTCAAAGTACCCAGGGCTCAAATTCAGATGTGGCTGCCTGTGCCTTGGTCAGAGAAGCCCCAGTTCCTATCAAAGCTCAGGCTGCAGGAAGCACTGAGTCACCAGTTAGTTCTTTCACATCTTGCTTATGAGATCTGCAGGCATCAGTGTTGCTGTGACTAAGCCCTGGGATGTGAAAAGACAACTCGTCTGTTTTGGTTGGCCTAGCTAGATGGATTTGGTTTGTACAGTCTCGCCATTTTCTTTTCAGTTAATATTAATTTCATCCTTCCCAACAGACTTATCCAAGCCATCTGAATACCTCGTGAGATTATGAAAGATCTTAAAGGGAAAAGAACATTATCCAAATGGGTAAAGACTCCAGCCTAGAAAGGATTACCAAGACCAGTAAAGTTTCAAAGCAAGCTAGAATATTGTCACTAGCCATGATGGAAAGAATCTCAAGAAATCTAACAATAAAACTTAATATTCATGATACAGTTGTCACGAATGGGGTCATGAAAGGGAACTGACTGGTCCAGAGACACATAAAGAAAAGTCAAAGGATGGTAAGGCACGAAGTAAAGGGGTCAAGGAAAAGAATGGTCTCACATCCACAAACTGCTGTCATGTGTCCAATGCCGAGCACCGCATCACCAGCCTCCCCCCACCCCCAAGACCTGTGGTTCAAGCAAAGTCAGCTGACAGCTCCTCAACAGGATCCCATGGCCCGGCCTCTGAGGTATGACATTCACATGCAATCATTTCCCACTGTATTTCTGAGGCGTATACCCCAGGGACTCCTCTCTAGGCTTGATCTCTGGCTGATTCATCTGGCTGGAGAGTGCAGCTGTGTGCACGTGTACGTGCACAGGATATGTAGGGAGACAGGCAGAAGAAACACTCTGCAACAAAGGGCTTCTATTTGAATCTCAGAGGGATTCACTGTGCTCATTGCAATGTGAAAAGCTCACAGGTCAAGAAGTCCAGCCTGATCGCACTACTCTCCCCTGCTGGGACAAAGTAGCTTTCTTGACAGGCCTGGGTCTGGAAAAACCTAGCATCAAGCTGGAAGACACTGACATTGTTTTGGTGTTTGTATCATTCATCTTTTTTTCTCCCTCGGCCTTAGGCATGATTTCTCTGTTGCTTACATCAAAAAAACTACATCAAAAGAAAAAAAGAACTACATCAAAAGAAGCTTGTTTTAATTGGCATTTCTGTCTCTGTCCTGGAACTCACTATGTGGACAAGGCTGGCCTCAATTTCACAGGTATCCACCTGCCTCCTGAGTGCTGAGATTAAAGGTGCGCAGCACCACACCTGGCCCAACATTTCTTATTGAATCCACTAAATGTTCAGGCCCAGCACTATAGGGGTGGGAAATGAAAATATAAACTCAGACCTTGTTCTTTGGGAGTTTATATCTCCACTTAGGGTGTAAGGCAGAGAACAAGAAATAAACAGGGCACAGTACAGAAGGGGAGGAAGAGCACAGCCTCTCCAGCCAGAGGGGCTGACCCCAATTAGGTATCTGATTCTGAATAAACGAATTTCTGTGTTCAATTTTCTTCATCAGAAAGGACAGCAAGGAGAGTAATTCTTACCTTACAGTGTCACCATGAGGGTTTAATAAGTTAAAGTGTCTGTGCCACTGATCTGTGCTATCTTTACAACAGATGCCAAGAATAGCTTCTGGCACATAAATGTGTAATAAATGATACGAAAACTGTAATTGTGTATTTTGACAAATACTATTAACAGAATGACAATGTGAGAGCTTTATCTGACATCCTCTACCATGAACTGAATACTCCTGGAGGATAAGTGTCTTCATAGTACTCTGCACATAGTAGGTGCTATAGTAGGTGCTCAATAAACATTAGAGATGCTACATTCTCCACTGACAATGCTATTTGATCTGCCCCTTTTTCAGACATGGTTTCATATAGGTGAGAGTTACCTTAAATTCCTGATCTTCAGCCTAATGTGGTGGCGCACGCCTTTAATCCCAGCACTAGGGGAGTTCAAGGCCAGCCTGGTCTACATAGTGAGCTCCAGGACAGCTGGGG